TTTACAGCAGCATTTTTCTCCCATTTCTACCACAGGCTACATGACTGTATATCTGTAAGTGAAATCACTTTAAGAAGGATCTGCAACAACTTGATGGAAGCCAATTAATATATATTATAACGAATATATACTGTTCCTCTGTATTGCAATTCTGCAGCTAATAAAGAAGTTCATTTATCAGCTTTTTTTTTATTACTCTTAAGCAATGTCCTTTTATCCTGGCCTCGGGTATCATGTCTGGATATTCAGCACAATATTGGCAGTGTTTGCTGTTGGCAGGACACTTTATTGTCACAGTGGCATAGCTCCCACTGCCCGGCAGGTGGAGGCAGAATTTAAGAGAAAATGGTGCCTTAATACAATGACTATCATTATTTTTGCTGCTGTAGTTTATTGTTAAAATACAGCTCCCTTGTTCCTATTGTTTCCTGCAGGAAAAAAAAAAAATCTTACATAAACATATAATACACTATTAAGGAAAACCAATAAATTAAATAGATTTTAGTATGTTTTAGTAGCTATGTCTTTAACGTAGTCCCCTGTAAGTCATAACTGCATAGTTTCCTTACCACAGGATGACATATATTTGTAGTCTCTCATAGGAGCATCGTTGCACTGATTTGTGCTTGACATTCGCAGAATGGTTTTTCTCCTCTTATTTGTTGTCCCTCTCCTGGAACTGGCTGCAAGCCTATTCTTTACGAGAAAAAAAAAAACGAAATCAAAACAGTGCTCAAAAGAAATAAAACAGTACCAGCTCCTCAGAGCCATTTTTCACTGGGGACAGGGACCCAAAAAAAAAAAAAAAAAGATACAGTAAGCATTAAGGAATCATGGATTGCACTGCAAGAAGCATTCTTTCCAGTAGGTGGTTCTCCACTACTGTTATAAAATAACATCTCAGGATTTGGGAATGGCTGTGAGCCAAAACTAATATGGCTTAAAGAGTGTCTTATTAATTAAAAAAAAAATAAAAACCTTTTGGGGGAAGTCCTATATCAACGCTAATGAGCCTCTAGATTGACAGTAACTAATTCCTCCTACAAAGATCTCTGTTGTAAGTGCTTCCATCAGCAGACATGCTAATGAACGCACCCTCACAGAAACTGAATGGATTATCTTTGAGATAGCCCAATTTAATTAAGATTGAAAGTTATGTCAGAGACATGTGATGATTTTTTCTTTGCACATCTGCTGGCTGTATCTTTTTAATTTTACTTTATTATTCCAAAGTGAAAGGAAAGAAAGCAAATAAAATACAGGCATGTAAGGGCTAGAGACAATAAGAAGTGAAGGAATAAAGTTTTACTGAGACAGAGGGGATGTGAGGAGTAGTTGGGGAGAGAGATTTTTGAAGGCTCTCAAACAAAGGCAGTAATTAATAGGGCATTCCGGTCAAATAGTAACTGTCTGCTTTTTTGCTGATTTTGTGACAAAGAGGTTTTTGCTGCAAAAATGATTGGTCTACCATAATTTGGCTACACAGTTGCTATCAAAGACCCCAAAGCCAAGTGTTAGGCTGATCGAGGAATAGCCAGTACACTACCAGTGAAGAAGAAAACAATTCTTGATGATCCACTCAAGCATAACAGCCATCAGAAGCAATAAAGGAAAGAAGAGGAATTGGGAGATAGGTCAGACCTGTTCAAAGCTAACCTGGTCTGAGCCTGGAAAAGAGCCTGAATCTCATCTGACAGGATCCCTGTTGTAAACCTTTCCCCCAGGTTTCCCACAGGTGGGGAAATTAATCCTCTTGGTACAGCTATTACCTCACCGGTCTGTAATATTTGCTGTTATATGCACTCGAGGTAGTACATTCTACTAAAATATTAGTGACTGGTATCAGACCTAGCACTCTGAAGTGATGGAATGGGGCCACGAGACATAATCAGTCTTGTTTTATTGTTCATGCTTGTTTCAGATAACCAAAACACACCAGGAGCACCACTGCTGCCCTGCCTAGAAGCCCTAGGACCACATTTTTCTCATTGTCCCTTTTGAAGTCAGGCTCCGTTAAAACCTATTTTGAAAAACATTTACAAGGAGTTGTCTATAGCATAGAAATTAGCATGGTCATAAGTAATATTTCACTCTTAAGAAATTAAGATCCAGTTTCACAACAAACCTACAAATACAGTGCTTAATCTGGGTGTCTCTCTTTGTTTGTTGTTTAGTTCAGCGTTACATTTGACACATCATACTCTTAGTTACGCAGTCTCATCTATTTAGTTTTTTTCTATTTCCAGTCCAATAACATCTTCAGTTTATTCCTTGGCTAACACAAGCAATCCAAGAAGGAACAAAACACTTCAGTTGTTCTGAAATGACAGATTTGAGTGAAAAAGGCTTATATGCAGATTCCTCAGGAAAGAGGGTAGGAACAACCTTTAATTCATAGTATCTTGGATGGTCATTCTATATCTTCAGTTGTTCTGAAATGACAGATTTGAGTTAAACAGGAACAACCTTTAATTCATAATATCTTGGATGGTCATTCTATACATGATGCTGTCTATCCACTTCCACATTATTTAGATTTATGAAGTCACAATCTAAGTATGTGCTACACTGCAACAAACAAACAAAAATTTAAAAGGTCCATATCCTTCTTGTGCTGACTCCAGAGCTGGATGCAATACTCCAGGTGGGGTCTAACAAGAGCAGAGTAGAGGGGCAGAATCACCTCCGTCAACCTACTGGCCACACTGCTTTTGATGCAGCCCAGGATATGTTGGCTTTCTGGGCTGCGAGCACACATTGTTGGGTCATATTCAGTTTTTCGGCTTTCTGGGCTGCAAGCGCACATTGTTGGGTCATATTCAGTTTTTAATCCACTAAGTCCTTCTTGGCAGGGCTGCTCTCACCCCACTCATCCCCCAGTCTGTATCCATGTTTGGGTTTGCCCAAAGCTGTTAAACTTCTGTCAGAGAAAATACCTGAGGAGGTACTCAGCTAAAAGTGCTAATACAATGGGAATAGAGACCACTGATTTCTTCCGCTGTTTCTTTTACACATCCACAAAAGATGTAAGATGGATTTAACATAACCGACTGTCCTTACCTTGCTTATAGGAAGGAATGAACATGTTGATTTAGTATAGAAGTAAGGAATAGCATTTTATCCTTTAGACGTACTTTTGTCAAAAAACTGACAAGTCCTTCTTGGCAGGGCTGCTCTCACCCCACTCATCCCCCAGTCTGTATCCATGTTTGGGTTTGCCCAAAGCTGTTAAACTTCTGTCAGAGAAAATACCTGAGGAGGTACTCAGCTAAAAGTGCTAATACAATGGGAATAGAGACCACTGATTTCTTCCGCTGTTTCTTTTACACATCCACAAAAGATGTAAGATGGATTTAACATAACCGACTGTCCTTACCTTGCTTATAGGAAGGAATGAACATGTTGATTTAGTGTAGAAGTGAGGAATAGCATTTTATCCTTTAGTCAAAAAACTGATAAAAGAGTAATTAATGATCCTTGCCATATTTTACTTCAGTTCTCTGTAAAGTCTCCCAAGAGCAGCACATCTGAGTAAGATTTGTCTGAACAGCCAGGTTCTTCACTGGCTGCATTAAGGTCTGTGACATTTGACAGTCTTCAGTATTAGATGTATTCAACAAGTTGAAGAGATGCCTTTCTTTCTTCCTTTTGTGCTTGTATGACTTCCATTCGTATACTCTTTGGGAGTCTTCTAATTAGTACGTTCATTCTTGCAAAATCATTCTGATGATGGGTAGCCTATAGACTTGTTGAATAACACAAATCTCTTACCTGATGCTATATATAATTCTTGTTTAACTGAACCACAGTCATGCATTTTAGTCATCTAGCCTTTGTTTAAAGACTTCAAGGGATGGAGAACCTACTTTTAACCCTCAATAAATTGTTTAAATGGCTAATAAACCCAAGTTTAAAATGCCATGCCTTTTTTCCACTTTCTAAATTCAGAGCCCACCCACTGAGTAAGAATCACTTAAGAGTTGAGTCACGCTGTGAACAGGTATCTCCCTCCTTGCAAAAATCATTAGTAAGATTCCCAGTAAAACCAACATGCTGAGTGATTCTGAATTTTTGAATGATTCTTAGTGTAGGCTACTCATGACAAACATATTGCAATTTTTAAATATTAGAAATATGAAGATATACAAAGTTAATTAGTTGATGTAATGTAATTAGTAAAGAGAAATACTGCTAGGTAAACAGATTCCAAATGCTACACCAGAAATTAATTGTTCAGAGGAAATGTGCAACAAGTATTAGTCTTCAAAAGGAAGTTGATGGTGTGAATATTTATACTGTGGCACGTAAAACTCCTTTTACTGCTTTTGTTCAGTATTTCCTTAAGACTTCACTTTTTTCAGAAGCATTCCTTCAAGCATACATACATACATTGAACATTTTGGGAAGAGCCAACATAGAAAGAGGGCAAACAGTCAAACCAAAATGCATTTTTAAACATTCTTTGATATATTCATCTGGCTCAAAAAAACTTATATAGAAAGTGTTTTTGTCTAACCAAGTCACTGAGATCATGTGCTTCTGAGTGCCTTCCAATTTAGCTAGAAAATACTGGCTTATATCAAGCAAGATTCTTCGTCCTTTTTTTCTTGTTCCCTTTAGTGTTTGTTACTTTGTTGTTGTTTTGGTTGTGGTTTTTTTTTTAGCAGATGTCTTTTTAGTTCATCTCATCTAACATGTAACTTCTAGTCTAAGCAATTATTTTTTATTTCTAAATCAGTGGAGTCAGTCATGCTCTCCCTATACCTCTGAAGCCTAAGAGATTTAGGCTCTGATTCAGGAAATCTCTGGAGTATATAGTGGAATATGATGCTGAGAGCAATTTCCTGGATCAGAGCAGTGAAAGGGACTGGATGATCCTTTGTTATTTTTGGTCTATTTTTATTTCAGAACTGTTGTGTTAGGCACACAACTACCGCCTTCTCCTTCTTATGTTGCAATTTAGTCTTGATAACTACAACTTCTCAGTAACATTCCTGCCCAGTGACTCATAGCAGATGTAAGCCTCAACTCTACAGAATTTAATAGCAAAAACAATCGCAGCCTGGGAAGGGCTCTGGAATTCTTTGCATCAGCTTAAGAAGATTTAACAACTTTGAGTTCTGTCCAGAGGGTAAAGGTAAACATTTTAGGTACCTGTGAGGGAAGAAGGAAGAATCTGGGGCAATTGCTATAGTTATGGTTTGAAAGGAATATGTTTTTGAAGGCCGTATAATTGGTGCAATATTGCTAATGATGTATGAATGTTTTAGCAGGATATAGCTATTTTGCTACAATATCTAGTTAGTTAATAAACCTCATATTCAAATCTGTAGTTTCTAAACTTATGAAAATGTATGGCTGTATGAACAAGGCTGCTCTTAAAGGCTAAAAGTGGATCAAATAATGAATTACTGTCCATTTTTCATATGAGGAAAAAGGGGCAATTTTTGTAACAGTACCTAATGAAGCAAAATTTGTGCACGAGTTTAATCATTAACATCAGTTTGAATTTTAAGAAAGCAAATAATAATGTTTCAAGTCATTATCTGTCCTTTTGGCAGATTCTCTCTTATTTTTATTGTATTTATTAGCAATGCAACTCTTATTGGCACTGTACAAACAGGCATCTGAGTTCCATCTAGCTTGCCATCTCCAGAATTCAAAAACAAGAAAACAGGCTGACAATTCAAAATGTTCATAGCACAGAGTTTCTCTAATGTCGTTAAATAGGTTTAGGAACTTGTTATTGACATACTTGGAAAGACAGTAAATTTAGGGGAAATTTGAACATAGGATTGATTGTCTGAGTAACCTGTAAAGAAGGCCCAGGCAGAGAGAAGGAAAAAGGTACCTTTCTAGAATGTTTATTCCATAGCTTTGGAGAAGTCTTTCTGCACAGCTGTGGAAATGCACATTCCAGGTGTAATCTTTGAATAGTTATTGGGTAACCTCATATGGATATAGTTCAAGGTTTCACAAGAGTTGCCCTTAAACTTCAATTTTATTAAAGCAGAAGGTGATTCATTTTTTTCAGCAAACTGTTAAGGGCTTGTGTTTTCAACTTGAAAATGTTACACTAACTTCTTCTCACTCTCTCATGACGTGATAATTAATCTACATGTCTATTGTATGAGATTAAGATTTTCCTGGAAAGGGATCACCCCACACAAATTTGTAGGGGTTTTTTGTTTCTGTTGAACCAACACCAGTGTTATAACAAAAGCCTTGGATGTCTCTCAGCACTTACCACCTCTTTGGATTCACTAGCATCAACACAAAAATATTTGCTAAATTATGGAATTGTTTTCATCTGTGACGTGGATTAAGATCTGTAATTTTTTTTGCAGTGTTTTTGGAGTGGATGTTTTTATTTCATTGTGTGTGAATGTTTATCAGTGGTTGTATTCTCTCCCTACATTTTTTATTATTTTACCCTCCATGTCCATTTCTGGATAATGCATTTTAAATAATTGTATTACAACCAGGGTAAATATTTAAATATTTAAATGAGTTTAAGAAACTGACTTCAAAGCAGCCTTCCTAGAGAAAGGTTTTAAGCTTCCCTTAAACAGAACTCTAGCTTTATACATTTCCAAAGAGCATGGATGTACACTTCCAGAGAACTCTTACTAATACAGTCTTTCTGAAACTTTTCGTAGAGATGTGAAAAACTGTTAGCCATGTTAATTCCAAGACTGAAGCTAATGATTCAGTTAGTGTATGCAAATCACTTTGAACACATATGGAGCTTGACCCTATTAACCCTTTTCCTGTCACTGTAGGGCTGGCAGTGGATCTCCTGTGAGAGCGACAGCAGCAGAGAAATACCATTGGGTCAGACATTTCCTCTCAGAGCTTGAGTTTTCCCATCTCTTTCTAGTCTTCTTGACCTTTCTCCTTTTCTGGGAGGACAACAGCCCAAAGATTTTGTTCCCCACAACCCTTGTGCCTATTTCAGGTCCACTCTGTGGGATTATTTTCCTGTGTCCTCTTCTGTTTCAGTGTCTTCCCTGTTTCTGACTGACAGGTTTACCAAATGGAGCTCTCAGTTGCTCCCTCTTTATACACCTCGTAATTCTCTTACCTTCATGCTGAGCTCACATTGTGAATGACTACAGGATCAACAATCCATCTTGGGCTTACTGTCTAACTTCCTATCTCAAAAATGAAACTCCAGGATTAAAATATCTTGAGCAATGTATTTAAATCATCACATATAGAAGTTTATCTATGAGACTATTCCTATAAATAAGTATGTCTTTTGAGCATATCTTGGTTCGGTGCTAAGGCTGATAGATGCAAAGTTGTCTTCCAAGTGCAGCCCTTATGAAGTTCCCCATATCAGGAACATGCTTTAGAAAGAGGCATCCTTTAAATAGAAAGGTGACTTCATCTGGAGCTGACAAACCAAACCAACTGCACACCCTCTACACTCCTCAGCTCTTCGTTCCTTTTGTGCAGCTTGCTTGTAGCAGCTCACACGTGCTGTGAGGGACATGATCTGCTCTGATTCTGCCTCTTAGTCTTCTATTTTTTATTTTTTTTTACTAATATAAGTTTCTGTGAGCAGTATGTAAGTTTAACTTGATAGTTTATAAGTTTTTTTTTAAAAATAAGAATACTGTAGTTGTAAAGCAGTGTAGCCCTTTTAAGATTGATTGCAGTATTCAGGCATTCAGTCAGTGAAATCATGATAGAACAGTTTGAAAATTAACATGAGGGAGAACAGTGTGCTTTTATAATGAAAATAACAGAGAATGAAGCATAACAGTTAAATATGGCCTTCCAGTGAAAAAAAAATATAGTTCCTTCTCTCCTAGAAAAAATATTTAAGATATGCATGGAGTCAGGACAGCAATTATCAGAGATCGATCATTTGCAGGTTGTCCAGATAACTGATTTACTCTTTGGCCACTCCTCTCACAGATGGTGTCATTGCAACAGATGGCAACAGCTGCTTTCAAAACAGTACAGGCTGCAATAGTCATAATTACTACTGTCGTAAGATGAAAGTGTTTATTTTATCACAGCAGAAATCTCTGAAGTCTAAATTAACAGAATTCAATGCCAGGCGATTCTTGCAGATTCTCCCTCCCCTGCCTCCCTTTTTTAAGCCCAAAATTCATAGAATTCACCGCTTTAAACAGCAGCAGAACTTGCTACATTGAATTATGGTCAAGCTTCTAATTCAAATTATGTAACTTTTATTTGATTAGCATGAAAAACAATTTACAACTTAAAATTCAGAAATTTTATGGCATAGAAATAACTTAGCCTAAGTTTTTCACACTCAAGAAATATTTTGTAGATGATTTTTAATGGATTTGTTTGGAGTCCTTAGAGATTGACATCAGCTTAGTATAACGCTTTACAGCTTAATGGTAGGTGCTGCATATGTCCAAAATGCTTAAAAAACCCTTCTGAGCTGTCTGTAACATGAGTTAATGGGTACAGAGCACCCTCAACACCTTGTGTCTGCATCAGTTCAGTGCAAGTAGAGGTATAATGAGCTTTACACAGATATACTAGGGCTTCACAACTCTATACACTCAAATATGATGCTTTCAAACCAGAAAAAAACATTGCTTACTAAAAAACTGATTTAAATAAAGCATCCTAAGTATGTTATAGGTGGGTGTTGAAAGCCTGAAGTTTGGCTGGGCTGTGATTTGTACTCATGCATGAGGTTTTCAGAGATTGGTGAAAATAAAGTTGGACTTGTCCACTTTTACAAAAACTTAAAAACATACTTCACGTAAGCACCTTGCTTATCTTTGAACAGTAAAAAGCACGCTCTGCCAAAATTCCACCGGTGTTTTATATTAATTCCTGTAGAAACATGAGAGGAAATTTCCATGAAGTTGGTGTTTCAATAAGCAGATGCTGACATTGAATCATTAATCTCTATTATAGGTCTTATGCTTTGTCTAACCACAAATGTTTTAACATGTAGTTAGCTGATTTAGTTTTAGAAGTAGAAAAAGCAGAGTGGACACATATTTCGGTTTGAACAGGCATTAGAATATGGAAAATAAAAACATTTTCAGTTTAAAAAAACAAAAAAAGAAGCATTCCTTAGTTGATTGCTTGCAGCAGTTTAACTGAGCGATTTAGAATTGGTTCATGTATAATCTATCTAAATATTTTAGTAATTGGAGGCCTTGATTTCTCATCTCTGAGCTGAAAAGCACACATCTACCTTACAGAAAATGGTGAAGTTATATCAGGTAATGTTTGCAAGGCAGTGAGATACAGTGGTGATTCTTTTGGCATATAAAATATTTTTCATATGAAACAATGGGATTTAAAAAGTTGTGGGTCATGCAGTACAAAATATGCATAGCTATCAGTCGAAAGATACCATCCTTGACACTGTTCAAATAAAAACTGATAACTATTACGCATTTTTCCCAAAAATTATTCTATAACAGTAAAATTCTCTTTTCTGGCACACAGAAATTGCACAAATTTTTAGTTCAAGGTCAACTAGCCCAATTCGGATTTTAGTTACTTGACTACAACAGAGAGCTTTCTCCCAACTTTAAAGGACCAACAAGGAATATTGCCCTGCTTTTCAGAGCATTTTAAAATGCTATTTTGCTTTTGTCTTGTTTCACAGTGGAATGCGTGAGTTTGAATCTTGAATAGTTGTAATGTAATGAAGCCTAAATACACATTATATTTGCAATATGTAAGAAAATAATTCTAGCTAAATAGATTATTTTGATTTAATTTAATGTCAGGTGTAAATATTTAGTTTTAATGCTTAAGTTAACTAGTATTTCCTTTGTTCCTCTACTTCACAGCTTCCAAAGAATGAAGATTTTGATAATGATTGATTTTGTCCTTGCCACTAGCTTGATGGATGCCATTGGCAGCTCTGTAAGTTCCAGTAATTAAATTTGCCTATAGACTTTCTTCTAAATATTTCATTCCTTGTCCTCCAGAGCACTTGCAGTGTATCTCAGCTGCATGGGAAGGCAGAACCTTTGATGGAAAAGATTAGAATTCAGAACAAAACTGAAAGAGTGGGAAAATAACCTCAAACAATGTTCAGTGGGGAGAAGATTTAGGTAAAGAAAGAGGACACAAATGCACAAATATACAGTAGAAGACAATGACTGGCTAATAGCACTGAAGAAAGTAATCTAGTCAGTTTGTTACTGGATCCGACACAAAATAGGAGGTGATGATAGAACATCTTTGCTAAAAAAGGTATTGTATGATGCATTAACAGGCACATTGTACAGAAGGCACACAAGACAGTTATGCTCCCCTTCAGGGGTAATGCTAACTCAGAGTAACACCTTGAGTTTTGAGCAGCATACTTACAGAGAGGAAATCCTGGAACTCCTACAGCGGTGGCTTCAGCAGTAGTATTTCTGGTCATTGACACTTGGGATGAAGAATGTTTCTATCTTTTTTTTACCTTGCCCACTTGCCATACAAATTCTTCTCAAATAAGATCCACAGCTTCATATTCTTACTTGTTCCCATGTTGTTTTCTTATAATTCACACTCAGAAACAATGACCAAATCTCCTTCACTTCTTGCTCCCAAAACCTTCTGCCTCTCCAACAAAAACCCTAACACAATCGCACTTACTCCACTGCTTAAAATACATCTCACCTCACCGGTCCTGTACTGCCTGTCTTGGCTGTCCTTCCTAGTTTGATATTCAGGTCCTAACTAGCAGGGACCTGGGAGATTGAGTTGTTGATTCATAATTGCTTAGGTGGAAGTGGTTGATGAATTTACATCTAGGTGAGCATCATCGTTTGTGGCTTACATTGTCTTATGGAAGCCTTTTGTTCAGATGAGTAGCTCTATAGGTGCAGAATAGGAAGCACCTGACTCTGTAATCACTTCTGCTCTGTAGAGAGAAATAATTACTAATTCTTATAGAAGCCTAATTTAAAAAAAGGCATTAAAGTGAAATGCATTTGCTTTCTTTTGATTTTTCATTTGGAATACTATGGGCTTTAGCTGGCCCTGTAACTAAAAAGTGGGAACATTCTGAAAATTTCTAAAAATATAGGAAATTACATCGTAAGTGAAAACTGTGTATTTTTATAGTTTTCATAATGTATTCTGAGTCTAATTCATAGCGTCAGTTTTAACGGAAGCTCACGAGCTGCTAAATAATTCACAGAATAACGAAATAAAGCCAGTGAATGCACGTTAATTGCAGCAGCTGGTTAAATGTGGGACCACACGTCCAAGAGCAGAGCTGTCAGCAGTTGTTAAGTAATTGCTTCTCAACGTGTAGTACAAACAGTTGCTTCACTGAAACAAACACAACAGGTTATTTTCAGTCTGGTTTCAACCAGTGGGCACCACTGTCCACTGGAGACAGCACCACTCAAATTCATACTTTTTTCAGTCTTTCAGTATTTTGAGTATTTTCAATATTTTGAGTATTACTCAATTGTAATAGTTCAACTTTGGTTAAACCATAACAAAAGGAATAGCAATATGTTATAGCTGCTGACTCATACAACACTAAGTTACATTTTGCTTCTATATTACTCTAGAAGTGCACTGGTTTATCTCCAAGGATTTTAAAAGAGTAATCCCATAAAAAACGTGCAGCAGTACAGTAAGAGAACAGTCTGGTAACCTGCAGATCTAAAAGCCACATTGATCCACCCTGAAGTTACACAGCTAACTTATGATTGTCCCATGGGAAAAACAGGTGTGGAATTGCAGATACTAGAATTGTATTTTTGCTGTCCAGCAGCAAAGTGTAATGGGATTTGTCTGGAGTTGGCAGAAAGAGACGTCAATGAGAAGGCTGGAGTCAGGGAGAGAAAGCAAAGTATCAAAAACCAGTACTTTTCATATGAAGGTTGCTTTCAAAGCTCTTGTTTCTGCTCAGTCATTTCTTTCTTACAGTGTAGTTATTCAGTGTGGCTGGTGATTTCTTGGCTGACGCTTACTATTTACCAGCACTGTGAGCTTAAATCCTTTTCATAGGAAATTGCTACATGTAAAGCACTTCTGTTACTGCTCACCCCATAATGAGTGTCTTGTCTGCACAGCAGATGAGAATCAGCTCAGTGTTAGTTTTTCATTTTCATGAATTAGTTCCAAATTTTTAAGTCAACAAAAAGAAAAGATCACTTTAAAATGCAAAGTTAAGAATAACACTTAGAGACATAGCCTGTTGCAGACTTGTGATTATTTGATTTAAAGGAAAGGACCTTTTATGGTGGTGTAGGAAGTAGTGCCATACTGAACTTAGATACCAAGTTTTCTAAGGTACAGTAATATTTTTTGCAAAGTTCTGTGCTTTTGCTGTATAATTTAATCATGGCAGGAGAATGCCTTTTAGCAGTATGAATAGGTGGAGTGTCTGATGCATTTTCACTACACCTGGAAGAAATGCACTTGGCTGCCTGTAGCTGCCTCTCCTCAAATGTGCAGGGTTGTGCTCTCTCCAGAACTGAAAGTAGCTCTTTGTGGCCCAGACCTTGCCACATGTTAAAGACTCAGCCCACCTTCAGGTCTCCCCTATGAAATTCCAAGAGCCTGGTGATAGGGTCCACCATTTCCAGGATCTCCCAGGTCTTTTCTAAGGTATTTTACGATGTTCTCCAAAGTTGCCAGTACTGAAAGACTGATACAGGACAACCTTCTCAATAAATAAAGGCTGCAGTAGGACTGGTACGTGTGGCATGGTGGCTCCTTTATCACTCTTAATATGATTAGGATCAGTATTTGGTCTGACTGTTGACATGGCTTTTTTGACAGCTTTACTTCTACAGTTAGCATTTGCTTGTCAGGGTGAGCCTGGAAATATTTTTCATTATTTATTCACTCTTTCTCAACCCACCTATGCAGCTTTCTGGTTCTCCACAATTTTCTGTATGTACTCAGAACTAGTGTGAGACTTTGCAGAGACCTGCCAAGGGAGCCTCTTCTGAATTTCCCAATTTAACCCAGTTTTTGTGAAGGGTTTATATGAAGCTGCAGATACAAGTTGAGACAACCACCCTAGAAAGACTGCATAATAGCACATCCTTTCTTTGTAATACACAATATTTCACACATGAACCAGGGTTTATGCTCAAATAACATCCCTCTAAGCCACTGTAGCAAGTTCGCCTCTGTATGTGGATGTATTTTAAGTATTTTCTTCTCTCATTTCATGCTTGAAAAAAAGGAGGGTGTGCTAGGGATCTTGTATAGCTATCAACAACTGAAAAAAATTTCCAAGGGAGTATTTTCAAATAAGATAGGACTCTAGGGATATGAGGTCATTGGCTGCTTTGTTTACTCTTCTAAAAAAGCCTTTGGTAAACATGGCTCTTACTGTACGGCTCCTCCTTGTGGTCTAACATCTGCATGGCTTCTCAGGACCTGGCAGCCAGCAGGCAGCTGGGGGCTGCAGACACAGCGGCTGTCAGGGCAGCCCAAAGCCATAGAGGGTGACTGACCAACTGCCCGGCCCTGCCAACATGTATATTCCCCATTCTTTAATATATATAACCATATATATCAGATTGCAGTTGAGCATGAATTAATTCAGAAATACTTAAAGCAGAGGCCTGCCTTCAGGATTGTTCTGCAAAGTCTGATTATCCATTTTTTTCAGTGTTGAAATGTTTGTAAGTTTTGAAAGTGAATTGCATCCTTTCTGGTCAAAAAGCAAAGGGGCTTGCAACACTTTCCTATCAGAAATAACAGGTCGTAGTCATGACATGACTTATATGAATGTTCCTTGACAGTTGCAGAAGTTCCTCTGCTTTTTAACTAGTACCACAAATTAATTATGAAAAAAAATCTGTTAGAGTCATAACATGCGGATTCTAATTAATACTGTTAATTTAATTCAGCAAGTCTATTCTTGGAGTTGTGGTGAATGGTACTGCAAGGAAGTCAATCTAACCAGAACTGTGTTTGTGCTGCAATAGGAACTTACAGAATGGTATCAGCTTTTCAGATAGAAGGAAAAAAAAAAAATAATCACTGCAGCAAGAAAGTGGCAAGAAACATTTTGGTGGGAGTGTTCATGGAAAATAGGTGAAGCCTGAACCTGATCCAAAGTGAAGTATGTGGATGCCACTGGAGGTGCACATCAGTGTGCTACTTGGATCTCTCTGTAGTTCACTGTAAGAGGGCAATGTTCTAAGGTATCAGCTCTTCCATATGATATCAGCAACTGTTACAGGTCTACATCCTTAGCTTATGTAAATACTGTTGCCCTGTGAATAAGGCTGCCCCAATTTAGAACCACCGCGTATTCGATCTTGCATATCAGATTTCCAAAAGGTTGCCCTCTGGTTTTGCCTTTACAGTGCTAGTTGTCTTCTCGTGCAAGCACCATAGCTACTAAACTCGTGTTTGCTCGTATAAAATTGCAGACACGATATTACTGATGCAAAAACCTCATGTCACGTTGGTAAAATGTATCATAAAACCCCAAAGGCTTTTTTTCCCCATGTTGAAATCAAATTTCTTTAGTATCTATTTCAAACCGTCCAGGCTGTTTTAATTTAAGCTCGCTAGATTTGGTTCTGTTCACTTTGGCTATTTTACCATAGCCATTAATCTAAACCCAATTATTTATTGCTCTGCGTACATTCAGCATGTCAGAATTTGGAAAAGTTATTCCAGCTCTCTTGTCACATATCCCTATTTGCACCAGGGTGAAATGAGCCCTTGGTATCACCGGATCAGAATCACTGCATTTCTCACCCACTCTGCTTGGCAAAGTTAAGTGTCCAAGTCACCTCACAATATTGACTTGAAGTTTTTAGCTTTTCTTTTTCATGCATATGCGCAGCTTCTTAGGGACTGCTTATTTTAGCATGCCAAAAATGAGCTTGAAACTTTACAATATTTATCTTGGCAATGTTAAGAGTCTTATTATAAGAAGTGTGTAATCTAAAAGCATTTGATAAATGCACTATGTGTATCAGTGTGGACTGTGTTTCCTTAAAACTCTGGAATTTTAGAGCTTTCACAATGTTAATAGCAGACCTCACTGGATAATAAAGCTCTGTACATGGCAGGTGATATAGAATAAGCAATCTTTATGATAAGGCCTGTAGTATCCTGCTTTTCCCTGACGTCCTCTCTGCCTGTTTGCAGTGAGAGCTGGTGGTTATTGCCATTAAAGAGAAGGACTCCTTGAAACACATGTATATTCTGGAACACTCTGCAATTTACAAAATAATTTAACTAGAAGTAGCAAGAAGAAGTCAACATAGTGTCTGTAGGAAATTGTGACCAAAATGTTTTATTCAAGTTAAATTTTATTTATGGGTTGTTTGGTTGGTTTCTTGTGTCACATGTTAAATGCAACACAAAAATGTTGATTTTACCACAAGATATGTTTTCCTCTCTAGGATCTACAGAACTGTTTTCAAGAGCAGATACGACTTCAGGGCCAGGTGAGGCTTCTGGAACATCGTGTGAAACAGCAGCAGTTAAAAATTATACAGCTTTTAGAGAAGAAAGAGATTCAGTACAGTGACAGAGGAGATGAAAACAGTGTCATTGACTTGGGAGGAAAAAGACAGTATTCAGGTTAGAAATGAAGCTATTCTTTTGATTTCCTTTCATTGTAAAGACACCCAGAAGCTTTAGCACAATTGGGCCTATTGACTCATTGTTTTAAAAGCTCATAGAAAATTGTTTGTTTAAAACACAGTGTTCAGTTTTAACCTAGGCCTGCCTCTGCAGGCAAAAATTGTTAGTGTTACACAGTATAAATCAAATCAGGATTGAAAGGGTTTATTGATTTATTAATAGCACATAATTAAAAAAACAATAAATGAACAGTAAAATCAGAATAAATGTCAGCAATACAACAGATAAAAGACAATAATAGACATTTACAAAATGTTAATAAACAGCTACAGATTTCTAAACACGCTTCTTTGACTAATCTCAACAATTTCTAGCCCACAGGGTCAGTTCACATTGACAGGGCTCCAAGTATACACCAACTCTGTCCCAAGTCCCTGAGACATCCATATTTATACACATAAGCCTGGCATAATGACATCTGCATCTCACTTTAATAATATTCAGTTTGTTGCACCATTTTGACTGAGTTAAGTTCAGCTCAGGACATCACAGCCTCTGAAATACTGGTTTAAAGTTGTTTTTGTAATCTCACCAGCATTCTGGTGGGGATCCTGTCCCTCTGCAGTGGAAGAAGGCTGAGTGTGTTAGCCCGTAGCTGCTGGAGTGAGGCCCAAACTCTTAAAATAATAAAACACCATCCAAACTGAGAGTTGGATGGAAAATACAATTTAGGGGTCTGATTCTCGGATGATGCTTGTTTCCAGTTGTCCAGTGCTAGAGAGTCTAAACTTCCAAGATTTTTAATAGCTTTGTTTGAATATACCTGTAGTGTTTATGCTGCTGGAAGAAATCACAACATATAACAAGGCATCAAATACAATAAAGCACCATTGAAATTAAATTAAAAGCAGTTGTAAGCTTGACTTTAAATTTTATCTGTATGTTTATTTATGTATTCAGCATCCTGGAATACTTTTTTTTATTTTTTTGGCTGACTCATTTCTAACTGGAAAACATGATTAAAAACCACATTTTGCTGAAAGGTATTTGTCCTTCCTTAGCATATGCCTCAGTTTTTGATCTTAAAATGGGATTCTAAATAATGGATATAGGTTGTTCCAGTTTCTGGTGATTATTTTTTCGCTTTACTTATAGCTTAGCTTTTCCCTGTTGGTAATGCATTATTTCATTCGAGCTGCTGTAGCATTTTAGTGTGAACAGAGCTGGATAATTTGGGGTTAGATAGTGAGGGAGAATTCCACACTATATACACCTGCTAAAAATTAAAATATGATGAAGTGCTTTGCTAACCTACCAACAAAACGATGGACAAGAAAAGCTATTTTCTATAAGCAAATCAAACGTTCTCTAGAAAGACAACTTAGCTGTTATTTAAATCATGTGTTTTATTAGAGTTTATTCAAATCCTGGCATAGCTATTTTTTCTCAGTATAAAGTGTTTATTTTCTGTGTCTAATCTTCACTGACACTTTCACTGAGAAGAAATATAATAGTTCAGAAAGTTCCGAGCTGGCCTGGAAGTTCAGCCAACACGTTCATAAATTTTTCAGGGAAAATCTTGCAGTTAATCAGCCCTACCTTCGCCAGGAAAAACAGAAATGTTGAAAATTATACGTCTTTCCTGCATGGCTGCTTGATGGTAGATTACATCTAAACAAAGAACTCCTTTCATTTCTTAACTCCTAGAGGAAAAAAGATAAGATTATACAATTACATTGCTGTTATACTTTCACGAGCTCTGAGTTTTGTCATTGCTGCAAACGCTGATTAGTCATCAGCACCAATGGAGACCAGATTGTAAGCGGCAACAAGCCAAAATGGTATCATTTTACACATACATTGCACTTTTTGAGGGTAGTCTTCTACATTTTTGCACCTCTTTGCTACAAGGGACAAGAATATCAGGTCCAGAAATTGTTTCCCTTTTCTAACTCTGGTGATTCCATACTCTTGTTTTTGGCAGTTCTCCTGTGGACTTTCTGGACATAGAACTGCATGTTTGTTTTTAAAGGTTACTGTGTAACCTACTCTCTACTATGTAGAGAATTTATATGATTGTAACAGGATTCTAATGTGGTTTATACCCTTGAAAATTAAAAGTGACACCACTTAAACCAGAGGAATTATTTTGCTAGTCAAATGAAACCAAAAATGATAGTATTTTATGGTGGAAAAAAGATTATTTTAAAGAAATGTCAAAATTATTACAGCTCAATAAAGTTTTAAAACAACACAGATACAAGTAAATGTGCAAAAGTAATAAAAATATGTTTACTTATATGACATGACTTGCTTTCTGATATTGACTTGATTTCTGATTTTGCCAGTCATTTTAGTACTAAAAAAAACTGTCCGATGAACGTTTTATGAACAGATTGTGCAGAAATCTTCAATGACGGCCATAAGCAAAGTGGATTTTATAAGATGAAGCCTCTCCGGAGTCCTACTGAATTCCTCGCCTTCTGTGACATGTCTGAAGGGGGTGGCTGGACTGTTTTTCAGAGACGTTCTGACGGCAGCCAGAATTTTGATAGGTAGGTACTACACAGAATCACAGAATCACCATGGTTGGAAGGGACCTCTGAGATCATTGAGTCCAACCTTAAAAAAAAAACAACCAAAAAAACCCCCAAAACCAAAAACGTAGACATAGGCATTAAAATTGGAAACAAAGTGAAGAAACATTAAATCAGGTGGAGCTAAGTTAAAGCTTATATGAAGAAGTTGTTAAATAAAAGGGAGGAATGATTATTCTGTGGGACAACGTCCAGATGAGATACCACCTCTAGCTCTGTCTCTCTTTTGGGAGACATCTCTTCTAGTCTTTTTCTGACAGCTTATGCATTTTACATCAGGACACTTCAACGTCAAATGCATTAACAGTTGTTGGAGTAAGAACCCTTAATGACCAGTAGAGGACTATCTTGTCTTTTGCAAATAGTAAACATCTAAAAAAGTAAAAATGTAAGCAATCTGCTTGAACTGCAATACCATCAGCAAACAAGTATGAGAAGAATCCTCCACAGAGCAATTTGAAGCTCAGAAGAAAACACATTAGCTCAGACCAAGCTCTGGTATCCTCCAAGAAAGAGAAGATGGGTGAGAAACTGATTTGTGGACACCTAACCTCCTCGCCTTTGCCAAGACTCAAGCACTTTGGAGAAATGTCCAGAAGTGAAATCTTTGGTGCTGTGAGACGTGAATATGAAAACCCACAAATATTTACAGATATTAGAAGGAACAAGAAGGTTTTTAGAATCTTCACTTTGTCCAATTTGCTTTTCACATATCTTCATCCTTCTGTGGATTTGTGTCTTACCTGTGTTTACAATTACTGTAACTAACTTTATGAAATCAAGAAGCAATCCCCAGAAAGGATGAAAAACTGCAGTCCAGCCGAGGAAACTTTGCTATTCTTAGTTTATAAAATATGTTCAGACAAGCTACAGGAGCAATCAGCAGCCATTGACAATTGTTGCCAACACACAGCACCCATTTTTCTTCCTTGCCAGAGACTACCAGTGACTGAAGTCACAGGGGCTGCTTCCTCTTTTGGCTGCCCATCCACAGCCTGGTACTTTCGCCATTGGTTGAAGGCTGGCTGCTTCTCATCAAGGAAATAGATCATATTTTTGTCCCCATTAGAACATGTCATGAAACCAAAACCACTGAGAATGTGTTTAAAAGCCACTGCAGACAGGGAAAATATTCAATACTTTCAGTATACACGTTAATTCTTGAAACTAAGCATCAGTGCAAATTCAAAACTTGTTAGAATCAATAAGTAAGACAAAGCCAGAAACAGCCAGCTAATACCTCAATTTACAAAATTATATATCCAGCTGCAGGAATGTCACAGCTTAATCAAATCACAGAAAATGATAAAAAGCAATTTAAAAAGTAATTAAAAAATTTTAAAAAATAAAGAAACAGTACTTATGATACACCTACACACTCAGATCCCCTGGATTTAGGCAGGAAAAATGTTTTCACTTCAGGTAAATCGTGCTATGCCAGAGATTTGAGTGAGCTAATGGGTTTTCTTCTGGTCTTAAAATACATTAATTTTAAACCACCTTGAATGTACCCCTTAGCGCTACTCTTTACACTGGCATTCAGTGACCAGTGTAGTGTGGGATCCAGCCCTTCACATGTGAGAAACACAAATAATTCTGTGAAGATCAACAATGTAAATAAGAGAATAAAGTCTAAAATATTTGTTTAGTAACACGGGCATGGGACTAGGCTACCTTCTGAGGTTCTTTCCAATTTGAATTATTCTGTGATCTATAATTGTACGATAAAATGAGCATCCAAGCAAATTTGCTTTTTTGATAAATTAGTAATTCATACTCTTTTCAGAGTCTGGACTGACTATGAAGAAGGCTTTGGAAATTTTGTTTCGACAAATGGTGAATATTGGCTTGGAAATAAAAATCTTCATTATTTGACTAATCAAGGTAAGATTTGTACTGTAACATTAACCTTCTGTTGTTTCTGTTTCTTTACTCTTTCCAGCCCATCTTGTGTTACCCTTTTTGTTAGCATAAATCCGGAGTTCTGCTTTTAATCCATGTGGAATTCTCCAAGTTTCAGAGCAAAACACACTTGAATATATGTTTTCTAGCAAAAGGTTCGAAACTGTTGTGGGCCTGATGGCATGCAGGGAGGCCCTGCAAAACAGGGAAGAATAGATAGGAGTTTTAAGATACCTCAAAACAATTGTTTTTACCCTTTTCTCAGTCAGCATCACTAACAGTGATGTACCAATGTAACAATTCAGTTAACCAGGGCTTTATGTGGCTGCAGAGGCCACACGGAGGTAAATCGAGGCCTGTCCTGTTGATGAGGCTGGTCTTAGAAAGCTATTTCCATCTTTCTAATAGTCCCTCAGTCTAAGGTAACTTCTGCTTTGCTCTAGAATGCTGCATGTACACAACTTACCCATTGACTCAGTCAGCTAATTCATATGGAAACCAATGCCACTAGGATGTGGTCCTAGTGTAACTGTTTCATCTTCAGAGTATAAAAATCTAACTTTCCTGGGTGTCTGCTTATTGATTGATTTTCACTATCCTTTCATTACCTTTCATTTCAAACACCCTACCAAAATATAAAGCCCATAAGGCCATTTATTTTTCTTTATTTTTTTTTTTAATCTACACTGGAATATCTTTATTGGAATAATTCTAAAATTTTCCAAGCTGAATCAGGTGAATAAAGACAAAGAATAGCAAGATATGCTTTAACATGCATAAAGAAAGAAGATAAAACCCCATAAAATATGCTGTGATGATAGAGATAAGATTCATGATAAAAACATAGTTAGCATTTTAATCTTCTACTATAATACTCTGTTCTGAAAAGTAGGGAGGTAGGCTGTTTTAACCAAAATAATTTGTGTTGTTATTTCTTAAGGGAACTATACTTTAAGAATCGATCTAACTGATTTTGAAGGAGAACGGCGTTTTGCACAATATGCAAGATTCCGAGTTGCAGGTGAAGAGGTAATAAAACATTAAATAATGACTAGAGGTTTTAATGACAATATGAATTCTGTAGACAGGCAATAAATGTACGGGTTCCCTAATTTTCATACATGTTTGTGTAGAAACTTCTTATCATATTTTCTTTCTTAAAAATGCTTGGAATTTTCAAATATGTGATAACAGTGGTTTACATTGATACATCCGTTTCCCACTCTCTGTAAGATGTGTGAATCATTTGGTTTAGCAGCCATGGATAAAAGCAGTTTTTCTATTTTTGTTGATATTTCCAACAATAGTGGTACATGATGTTCTGATTTGTTGATACACACTGCAAGCTAACTCTAATCACGTTTGTATTATGTCATTTATGCATAAGGCTATTGACAAATTTTACCACTGCTAAGCTCATTATCTAGTACACAGCTTTTAAGTGGCATGACATTTCTGAGCATAAAAATAGTAGCAAATGGAACAGATTAGTTTCCTCTTTGTGGTTTCACTCTCTGACACGCTAAAGATTAAAGACATATTGGAATTTATATATTATTTTTTTCCTTTCTTCACATTTTTCATTAGCATTCTTACGAGATGAGCTGTGGTGAATACTCTGGTACAGCGGGTGACTCCCTCACGGGTGGATTTCATCCCGAGGTGCAATGGTGGGCTGATCATCGGGGAATGAAATTCAGTACTAGAGACAGGGATAATGACAACTATGAAGGGAACTGTGCCGAAGAGGAAAAGGCCGGCTGGTGGTTTAACAGGTATTCCAATTTCATATCAGTTTTGTCAACTGTTCTGCTTCACGTGTGTTCATGCAATAATAACTTATGGTAGAAGATAGGGTTGGCATTTTTTTATATATTTTCTATCTGTCCTTGACCCCTACCAGAGATCTCAGTGCTGGTAGGACTGAGACTCACCTTAGGAGGGACAGCACCTACCGCTGAGTCTGTGATAATGGTGTTTTCCATAGGCTTCCATCATCTTTGCTGTCAGACACTAAGGAGAAGATAATTCTGCCCCTTTAAGGTAACCAGTTTTTACACAAGTAGGTCATGTGGAGTTTGCAGATGTAGCCCTGTTGTGCTTCATTCTTGCATTTCTCCTGCCTTGCACCACACCAGATGTGGCAGTACTGCGGAGTATCTGACAAGTTAAGATAGTGCTTGATTATTAAGGCTCATTTTTTTTCACCTCAGTTCACAGCATCTCACTCTTGTTATTCCTTCTATATCAGGATGGGAATGTGTCCACTCAGTTTCTGTCAGTGAGCTTGGCTGGTCCGGGAGGAAGATTTTTTTTAAATAGGGTTCAGTAAAAGAATTTTAAAATCCTACTTGCATACAAAATACCCATTCAAAAAGAAAGGATAAAACTGGTAGCCTTAGCACTGTCTGGGGCAGTGAAGTTCTTTCCCGTAATTAATTAGATAAATATAGCTGTGAAGAGAAACTATGCAGTCTAGCTGTGTAATCGAGAGGCTTAAAATACAACTCAGGGAAGCAGACTTCTCCCTCGCTGTGATCTCAGTTCGCTTGGCAAGAGCTGCCAGGCTGGATCAACTCCATTGTTCCTCTCTGTTGTGTCATCCTTTGTCTCTGGTTTTTAACTCCTCATTTTCCAAACTCCGTTTCCATAAGTAGCCTGTGACCTCCTTAGCTGATACAATGTAGCTATTGACTCGATGTTTCATAATTAATTAGTCTTTTTAATACACTTTAATATATTTTCTGTGAGTCAGCAGAATGTTTGAGACATAGGGAAGAAAATCACATGTAGACAAAATTTTTTTTGTAGTTGTCACGAAAGCTAAGATATAAAAGGGAAAGCCAACTGTACTGGAGATCCTTTTCCAATAAAATCAGAACTTTTGTGGATTTAGAGGAATATCTAGACCTCAAGTAGCATAAAACTCTGACACCATGCCATGGGGTTCATTAAGAGTGAATCATCATTCACTTTTAGTCCACTGAATACATTTTTTGTCTTTTAAAATTGTATATATTTTTTTAATATTGGATTGGTATGGACAAAAGAATGACCCCTTTGCAAAAGTAGCTGTAGGGCAGAACGGGACAGTTATTAATACCTTGTAGTTGGTGCTACATAACTACTAAAGATAGCTGACTCCTACCAGGCTACTTCCTATTATGGCTGCATAGCTCATGCTCTTAAAGTCACAGTCTATCTGGATAATGAAAATGAGTTACTAATAGTGTTATTCCACTGCCCTGCTACTGACTTTTATTAGGTTAAGCCTAACATAAAACGGAATGCTGCAAAATACTAGAAAATTTCAGTATCCTTAAATCCTACCCGAAAGAACAGTACTGGCAGGGACAGGGAAGCACTCAGGACACGTATTTGTCATGCACAGATTAGCAAACACAGAAGGAATTAGTGCTCTTGGCTGGTTTATATAGGAGCTCCCAGCTACGAAGGAATGTTTTATAGCCAGCTCTGTGCTATCTGGACTAATGAAATACAGAAGAGCCCAGATAATATGAATACCAAGGGACGTGCCACAAGTGAGGCCACGTGGAAGTCGTGCAGATCTAGTTTAAAGCCACTGGTCTTGCTCCAGCTCAGCCCTTGTTGTCTGGGACTTGTGCAGAAAAAATGGCCTCTCTGAATTATTTTGTAAGCAAAGCTCTGGAAGGGATTTTCCAGCTTGGATGCAAATCCACAGAGCTGGGTTCACTCTGGTACTACACCCAGGTTATTCCTGCATCCAGGGCCTTGTGAATGTCAGTAGGTTCATAACCAGTGAAAGAAGAGCTTATTCCCTCCCCAGCACTCCCAGTTTCAGTTACAGCAGGCATGAGTGATCCCAGGGGATCTGTCTGGCATCAGGTTGGGGCCACAGATCTGACAAACTTGGCCTTCCTGCCTCTCCAGTCACCCTGGGGACAGCAGAGCTACATCCATGCGGGGACCTACTGGAGCCTGTAAGCCCAGGCAGAATTCAAACAGTTCTTCAGGGAGCCAGCTCCATCTCTCTGCATCTGTCATAAAGTTAACATATAATTCAGATAAAATGTCCACGGATAATTGAGAGTTGACTGTACTTTTGAAACTACTGCAGTGCAGTTTTTCACTTTAAAAAAGAAAGGAAGGAGGAACATAGGCTAACTTTAAGGTGTTTATTGACTTGTGAATAATGAGTGTTGCTTCAGAACATTGTGTCAATAATCACATGCCAGTTGTTTCTTTAGTATGTCCAGTTACTTCAGACAGCATGCAGCCTGTTACAGAATACTGTGTATTTTTGCTATTAGTGCCTCCCAGCACTAATTAAGAGTTGTTACTGGCACATATTGCTGTTGACAAAATCATGTTTTGCTGGCTTCCATCAAAGGAAGTAAAAGATCTAGATATCTCTTAGCAATTATGATTCTTCTCATGAAATCTGTGTTTTGATTCAAAGTAGACAGATTGCTGGCTCAACGCAGAATCTGTATGGCTAAAAAGGTTATGTCAGCTCTGATACAAGTTTGTCATTCTCAAAAACAAGGTCACTTTTCATGTCTGCAGTTTATAATCTTTCAGCTAACACATTACCAAAACTGAGCTTGAAAATTGTAAGCAACGAATAAGCGTGTATGTATGAGAATTTTCCTATGAGGCTTTTATTACAGTTTTTATTTCAGTTCTCAAAAAGTGTTGTTAAAGAAGTGCAAGCAAAGCCAACAAGACTAAGATTTGCCAGTAATAATATCCATAAGGTTCATTTGGACTGTTTTCTATTTGCGTATTTTCTGAAGTCTGCTATTGAAATCCATCATGGTGTTCAACAGCTAGACATTAACAGCACTTACAACAAAATACTGAATTGGCAGATAAACCAAGCTGGTTCATTACAATGTGCTGCAGAAGAAACAACCATTTTGCTCTCCGTACGGTTGCATGAGGATCTAAACTTCTTTCTTGTAGAAACCAAATGAGTATCAAGTTGTGCTGCTACCTATTCAAGTCTTTGAGTTTTGCAAGGGTTTTTTGTTTATTTGTTTATTTGAACTACTGGATTTGATAAACTGTAACAGCATTCCTGCTTCAGTATGTTAAAAGGACCAAAAACCAAAAAAGAAGCATAGTCAAATAAAATGCCAGATCCAGTGAATTGATATACATACGTTTAATTAGCTGTCAGATTTCATCTATTTGTAAATAGAAGTCCCCAGCTGAATAGCCAAACTGATGGTGGTCTTCAGGCTGTGTCATAAAAACCACGTGAGAAACACCACGTGGGGTAACTGCAAAACTTAAGAGGGGCTACTCCAGAACCACAAAAAGTAGAATGGAGTTTCTTTGCCAGGGTTTTGCTTGGGGTGTGCCCTGCTGCCACACGTGGCCTGAACAACTCTGGAATAATTCTCCACAGAAACAGGTTACCAGGCAAAACTCAAGGAACTTCTGTTTCAAAGAAGCTCAGAGCAATTGTGCCCTCATTAAACAGTCACTGTTCAGGTGCACTGAAATCCACAAATGCAAATTTTTGGAGCTGTCAAACTGGGCTGTTACCAACATGGCGACATTTTTGAGGCGCACAGGAGCTAGAAATGCTGCAACTTTTGGACCTTATTTATGTTTTCCTTTGCTTTTCCACCAGGTGTCACTCTGCCAACTTGAACGGTTTATACTACAAAGGCCCCTACACTGCAAAGACGGACAACGGGATCGTTTGGTACACCTGGCACGGGTGGTGGTATTCCCTGAAATCCGTGGTCATGAAGGTCAGACCAGCAGACTTTGAACCTAATATCGTTTAAGTATTTTATTAAGACGATTTATCTAGTTAATCTTTTCGCAAATCAATCCAAATTAAAACAGATGGGCAGATCTTTTGCTTCTCATCTCTGCATATATAAATCTGGAATAATTCCTCTGCAACCAGGAGTTTTATGAGATGTAAATGAGAAGGCAATCTGGCCCATGAATCTGTAGATACAAATATTAGTGCTAGTATATGTACAGGATTTATTTTAAAACGCAGGCGTTCAACTAGACATAAGGACATCTTCATCAACATGAAGAATTTTTGGTGTTTCCAGCATCTACAAATCCTGTCACCTTTTTAAAAAACAGTATTGTCACTGTCTTGTCTCAAAGATGAAAATTAATTTTACATATCACAACCAAAATCCTATTTAAATCCAAGCGTAGGGCTGGTTTACTCTGTGGATGGAATATACATTCTTTGTCAAAGCTTTAGAAGTGACTTGCCTGTAAATTCCTCTGATTTATTTGCATGTGCCGTGTACACAGCTTACATAAAAAGTATGAAGAAGGAGGCAGGGAACTGAAGGAAGAGAAGGGATGCTACCAGGCTAGAAACAATTGAATGCAGAGTACAGTAGTGGATTGTCTGTTGTTGCTCAAGCATTTCTAGGGCTGGTCACGTCATTTCAATCTAACATTCTGATGGTCAGTAATTATGCTTTTCTTTTTCTTGGTAATATTTGCTTTTCATTATGCTTTTCTTTTTTTTTGGTAACATTTGGTAACAACTTTAATGTATTGACATTTTGAGTTTACCAAAAGGCTAAATAACAAAATCTGCAACTAACTTTCATGTAAGCTGTGCTTTGAACATCGGCTATCATACTGCATGTGCAGACAGAAGTATTTCATATGCAACTAAAATCTGGCATTTTAGAGGTTCTTAGTGCTTGACTCCATAAATCTTTACTTTCTTTATATAACTGTTGGTCTCCACAAGTCTCCAAATTCCAATGCCCTTCTCAGTGACTTCAACATGGTTCTGCTTCTAAGCCTATTATCTTCTTTTCCTGTGGCCTTGTCGTGGATGGTTCTGCTTCTAAGCCTATTATCTTCTTCTTTTCCTGTGGCCTTGTCATGCCTCCCTGGGCTTCCCCCTTCTCAAGCTGCAGATGTACAAGAAATATCCTAACAGAGACTCTGCTTACCCCTGGCTTTTGTGCTTCACACCACAACAGACTCTAATAGCCAGTAATAACAAGAATTGCTGATTAGTGTTTGCTGCCTTGGAAAAGATAGGAGCACTCTCTGGAAAGCTATCTGATGAAACTTAATCTGTTTCCGTTGAGAAGATGCAAATGAAGATTTGAAAAACCACATGGATCTGAGCCAAACTTGGGCACTTTTATTTGCCTGCTTTCTAAAATAATTTTGCTTTTGTGGTTGCACTCCCAGTCTCTCTCCCTCTGTCCAAATACAGGTTTTGAACCTGGCAGCCAGTTTCAGGCAAGCTTAACATAATTGAAACTAACTTTTGGCAATCTATCAGTCAGTTTATAACTACATTGATATGAACACAGGTCAGCTCAATAACTCCCTGCATGGAGATTCTTCTACATTGATATGAACACAGGTCAGCTCAATGATAACTCCCTGCATGGCCAGAGGAAGAATCTCTGGAAAGCTATCTGATGAAACTTAATCCGTTTCTGTTGAAAAGATGCAAATGAAGATTTTAAAAACGACATGGATCTGAGCCAAACTTGGGCACTTTTATTTGCCTGCTTCCTAAAATAATTTTGCTTTTGTGGTTGCACTCCCGGTCTCTCTCCCTCTGTCCAAATACAGGTTTTGAACCTGGCAGCCAGTTTCAGTCAAGCTTAACATAATTGAAACTAACTTTTGGCAATCTATCAGTCAGTTTATAACTACATTGATATGAACACAGGTCAGCTCAATGATAACTCCCTGCATGGCCAGAGGAAGAACCTCCCATTTCCATCCTTCAAAACTGAAAGTGTGGCAAGAAACCTTGAAAGGATTGCATGGAATAAGGAGGGAGGACGTGCAGAATAACTGGGGGAAAAAAGGAGAGGTTCACAGGAAACAATCTCATTCAGTAAACTAAATCAGATTACTCCTAAACAATAAAAAACCAGATAATTAAGTAGAGAAAAAAATGGGATTCAGGCAGCTAAAAAGAACTTGATCATGTAAAAATGGAGCTGACAAAAATCTGCGGTATAGAGGTTTTGAGGTCTGTGCTTTTTGTGGTAATAGCAGGTATTCTAGATAATCCAATCTTTTTCGTGTTGTATCAATAGATGTGCTGCCAGAGATTTCTAGCCTTAATGGACCAACAGACCTACAGTTGCTTATTTGGAACCTTGTTTAATCAGTTTAACCAAATTAAATTCTGTATCTGACAGGAAGGTGTACCAGTGTATGTATGAGTGTGTATGTATATATGTATATACTTATATACAGATATATATATTTTTTTTTTTCAGTATTCAACATTAAAACAGATAATCTGCTACGTATCTTTATCTCTAATTTTATTGCAGAATTTAAAATGGGTTTCTTTGTAACTCTCCATGTAAGTCTGTAGGTATGGGTCATTAATAACAGGATGGAAGTTTTGGAATAGTTTAAAAAGATGTTGGAAGTACAGTATTTCCCGTAATAATTTTCAAATTTTTTTTCTACTCTAAGAGGAGAAGGATTTGATTCTTTGCAAAACCGTATATGACATTATGTAGAAATTGTAAAAACACCCTTAGTTTTTCATAGGAAAATGGAAAGATTAGCTCATGTACTTGAAGAGTATCAAGACAGATCATATTCCACATAATTTAAATAAAAGACACGGAGGATTTAAGTACAGCAAAGTTGGATCTTTACCACACAAAAAAGACTCTTAACATGTACAGATTGTGCTCGTAAAATCTGCAGTATTTTTTTTGTTTGCTGCAGCATAAATCCATCCTCTTTACTTCTGAAAACACTAGAAATCTTTCGGCCGAGTTAGGGTGCTTTGACATAATCTGATGTGAAATTTGACTCCCTTTCTCTCTTGGAAATCATAAAATGAAGGAGGATCAAATCTTTCTTTGTACATCTTGGAATGCATTTATATGTTTATTTGGACTGAATGCTTTTCAGAACAAGGACTTTGATAGCCTTGCTGTTTGAAAAGCATCTGGCATACTGCTAGCAACATGCAAATACAGTATTTAATTCCCACCATCTTTCTCTGGCTTTTCTTTGTGTAATAAATCTTTTTGTCCACATGCAAAACACGTGAAAGTGTTGGAATTCGAAATGGTCGTAGAAGTGTTCTCAAATAAACAACCTTTATTTTCGCAAGGCAAGTTTAAATAGCTACTAGACAAGAGAGTACAGCTTGGAATAGAATTCTTTTTTCTGCCTGGCCTGGCCTGTTTGTATTCATTTATTACCTCAACAGGTATAAACGTGTTTCTAATGTAGTCTTTATTCTTACAAGATAGCAGAACAAAGGCCAGTTTATTTGTTCAGGCATTAGGCAGAACAACATAATAACTCCCAAAGAGCTGAAAATGAATACATACCATTTGATACAAATCACATAATCCAACAGGTGAAGAATAAGAATCAAGGAAATAACAAAGAAAATGTTTTGTCAGTCATGATTTAATAAAGAACATAATTATTGCTACCAGCAACATGTAATAAAAAATGCCTGTAATATTTTTTTGTAATATTTGTTCAAGGGAAATACCTCTTTATTTTCAGTTGCCTGTTTCTGGTTTTTTTCCATTTGCTTCACATTTTGGAGATTAAAAGAATGGAAACCACAAACCCAGGTGAATTAAATGAGCAGTAAAAGAGCTTTATATGCTACCACATTTGTTTTCCCTACAGTGTCCAGTATGTGTTGACAGAGGTGAGGTACTGCAATCTGGCCGCGTGCTCTCCAGTGGAGACTCTTCTCTCCAGCTCTTCTGCCAGCTAGAACCTACCTCTCCCCATCATTCCCAAAACTCTTACTCCTGAAACCAGTTCTTGAACCCCTTTTGTAAGAAGAACATTTTGTTCTGTAAAAGCTATTTCTCTTTTTTTGCTGTTAGCAAAAAGGTATGCCCAGAAAGGGGAACTGAACCACAGCTTGCCAGATCTGTGAACATTCCTGTCATGTTCCTTTACTTTACCCATCATTACCTCAAAAAGAATTAGCAAAAAGGTATGCCCAGAAAGGGGAACCAAACCACAGCTTCCCAGGTCTGTGAACATTCCTGTCATGTTTCTTCACTTTACCCATCATTACCTCAAAAAGAATGAAAATGCAGCATTTTCTTCAGTTGCAGGTTCTCTTTGGCAGTTATAAGAGAGAGATAGAGCAGAAAAAGCATCCAGGGAAGCACTCTTTATCTAAATTTTCAAAAATTTCCACTTATTTCCGTCTTGGGGAAGCACTCTTTATCTAAATTTTCAAAAATATCCACTTATTTCCGTCTTGTTTTTTTTTTTAAATTGTCTATTAAGGGGTCAACTTAGAAAGCAAAAAGTGGTGCTATTCAAAACCAGGAGGTACTTTGAAATGAACAGGAGCATATGCTCACTATTTTCTCAGAGTAGATCTGAGAATTGGGAAATCAGCAAGGTTTCAAGCATTCAGCCAAATTCTGTATGCAATATATGCTCAGAGAGAAAAAAGTGATCATTTTCTGTTAGTTAAAATGTTTGTTCAAAGAACGTGTAAAACTTTACAGTGAGAGTGGCTCTTTGATGCTTAATTAGTTTTTTGTTGAATACACAGTGTTCATCCAAAAATCACCTTTTCCAAGTACCTGAGGGCCATCTTAACCTTTGTTTAGTGCAGGAGGAAATCCAGCTTGTCACTCTTACAGCTTCAACTAAGACTGTTCCTCGTAATCCTACCCTAATGCTAAGATTGCATCAGAAACATCATGTTGATATCCAAACATTGATTAAACAACCCTGGGGCCAAATTCATGCGTGTGTTTGCAGAAGAACCAAAATATGTCCTTTGCAAAAAAAAAACCTTGTAGCTCCCTTTTTTCGGTCCTTCCTCAGTAACTTTTAAGTATCTGTGTACAAGTTTCTTTTACCTGTTCCCTATAGAATCTAAGCTTCCTTCCTTTCTTCTTTTCTTCTCTTCTTGATGACAGTTTGATCTTTAATCTTGCCCAGTCGTGGTTTGCCTGGCTTAAGGGACCTGGGTGGCTCTGAGGTTCTGTAGGAGCTGAGCAAAGGCTGTGAGCAGCTACACGGTGCACTTCAGGCAAAATGACACTTAAGTCTCTAGATCCATTGTGAGAATCAGTGTCCAACCTAGTTTATAAACAGATCAGACTGAATTATTTAACAAATATCTCACCCAACAGTGTGGACAGGAAGATAAGCAGATTCCTCTTAAAAGTATATGGTTCTCACAAATGGTTACCTGTATTTCAATGCATCCAGTTTTGTTGTCCTTGCAAAAGATCCCAAGTAAATTTCAATCCATGGTCTCCCATCTAATTGCAAAATTATATTGCCGCAGACGCCACTGGGCTGGCACTTTCTGCAACACGATAGCTTATGTTAAATTAGCTGAACACAGACAAGTGACATATGAGCAGAAAGGCCTTTATGTTAGTTATATCCTGCACTAGATGGTGCTCTGTACATGTATTTTCTTAGGCAATACCACATTTGTAAACTAGTAGAAACATTTCTGCTGATTAAGTTAATTATTGAATGATAGAAAACAAGTCAAAGAAGTGAAGTGAATTTAGTCCTTCACTCACTTTTGAAATTATACACGAATTCCTAAGGTTACCTAAACCCTACAAATTCACAGCATCTAATTATCTTCAGGCAGTTAAATTGTGGTCTCTTTAATTTAAGAAGCCCTGCGTTACGACAGCAATATCTCGTGATCAGGAAACTGAGATTTCTGTGAACACTTGTGGCACCAGCAGGATGAAATAAGTGCCTGTGCCACAGCGAGTTCACTGCAGGGAGAGCAGGAAATCCATCTCCTGCCGAGATGGTGTACACCCATCTGGGAAAAGCACACCCCCCCTGAAATCGGGGGGTTATTCATGTGGTAGCCAGCAAATGGAAAATTCATGGGGCATGTAACTGCTAGAAAGTATTGCGAGTCTCACTCTACAGGCTAGTACCTAAGTTTGAATTATTAACACTTGCAAAATGTACAAACATTTTATGTTCTGATGAAGGGATTTTCATTATTATAATGCATCACCTTTTTTTCTTATTTTCTAATAACTTTGAATGACTCATTTTAAATATCCCATGGAAGTTTTTGAAATAATGCTAATTCGAATTGTTCCAGTTCTCCGTCACTGAATCCTCTCTATCTCTGTTAGGCAGCATGCTTAATTAAAGATCAACACAGTGCTCACCTATTCCTCTTCTTGACTTTTCCTAACAAGGGGCTTAACAGCCTCTGAGTTGGTTTCCCTACCCCTCTGACTCAATAAAGAAAAAAGAAAACAGAAAAATCCCACCCATCTGGTAGAACGCAAGTCACTCAACATAAAATTTTTAAGCAAAAAGTTGTAGAGTATTGAAGGAAGGGAAGGGCTTCCTTTCTATGTTTATACAACTTAGGAAAAAAAAAATCATTATTAATGCAACTTGAAAAAAAAAGTCATTAATATTTGCAATCCATGACAATAACCTTAAATTCTACCTTATTTTAACTCCCAAACATTAAACCAAAGCAGTTGATCCTCTAAACGTGGCATAATAGTTTCAAAAGTAAGATACTAACTGGATACCTTCCCAGCTGTGTAATTCTCAACTTCTTTTTTTTTCTCTCCCCAAAAGAATGAACAAAATTAATCTCATGCAAATCAACTGAGTCCGGCGGAATTACACTGGGGATAAATTAGCCCTGTCATCTGCACCTCAAGCAGGTCATTTAAATTATGTCCCAAAGAAAACCCAGCTTTAACAACAAAACCTTTCCATTATTTGACTTTCTTGTTAGAAAGCTATCAGCCAATTCATTATACAGCATTGTATGTCTGTATGTGCTCTGTAAGTCATCTTATACTAATGATCAACAACCTTCTCCTGGGTTACCAGAACAACAAAAATATCTGTGCTTATGTCCAGCCTGAGCTGGAAAGAGCTGGAGCCAGAAAGCAAGAAAGCTATAGTCCATGACACCTCAGACTTACTTCTTGATGTATGTGATAACAGGCTGGACGTTCTCTAAATAGGTCTCACAACGTCTCTGTCGTTTGCACAGTAATTAACCCTCGAAAACAAAATCTGAGAGAAATTAAGACATCCTGCAGCTTTTCAAAGAAGACCATCACTAAAGATGAGGAATGACACCATCAGGCTGTTCAACACAGGAAGGGCTCCTGACAGAAAGAATGATGTTATCAAATTCACTTTGAAGGTCTTCTGGTACATCACAAAGTGGGGAAAGTACGGAAAATACGGACTTTCTTAGAGAACAGCCCCACCATAATGATTTCAGCAGGTGAAAGATAATTTCTATGCATGTTTACCTCTGTTTCTTATTGGATGGGCAGCCTCTTCATCTAAGACAGCTTTAAAAAACCACTGAACTCTGTATCGTAGACTTTGCTCATGAGAAGCTCTTACCAGAGAATATAAAAGACTACCTGTTTCACAAAGAAACATATCACATCATGTTTCTTTATAATATCAGTGAGGATACAGATATTTTTGAAGGACGCAGTGGAAGCTGATGTCTGGCAGCTGCCTTCTGTTATTCACCTCCTTGTTTTTTATTGTTTTGTTGTGTGGTTTTTTTTTACCTACAGTATCTCCTTTCAGTTGAATAATGCTGGAACCAAAAATGTAAAATGAGACTCGAGAGAAGTCAGCTGCTAATAAAAGGTTCCACTGTCCTTTCTTGCTGACCCACTAATTTAAATGCAAGCTGCTCTGATGTGATACCAGAGAAAGCCTTCCTTGGGGTGTATTTATGCTTACTCATTAAAAACAAAGAAGTTCCAGCAGACTGCTTCTTCAAAATGTTGTGACATAAATCTTCAGCTACAAATATGCTTCTTTGATAAAAATACTTTAAGCAAAGCCTATATTATTCTCTGAAAGAAGAACATGCTGCAGTACTGTTTATTTTACCACCTATTTTACCATCGAGGAGTCCAATTATAGTGGGAAGAGAACAAGTGTCCAAAATTAAAATCCCTTCATTGGGACATACAGATTTTGAAAGGCAGGGAAAATCTGGAACCCTTCTGACTCATGGATCTTTTTTTCTTAATAGGAAGATGAATAAACCCCAAATGTATGCATGTTTGGTTTGAGAACCCTAGAATTAGTAGACACAAGAGTGAGAATGAGTGTTTTCATACATCACCTCTGATTTTCTCTATCTTGCAGCAAATCACTGAGTGTTTTGATAATCTCCTCATGTGAGAGAAATATGATTTAACCATTTAAAGAGAGCATCTGCAGTTCGTTTATTGGCCAGTCCAGCCTAAACCACACCACCATTTTACAGAGCACTTTGAAACCTCCTCAGGAAACGTGTAATTCAAGGACTACACTTTATTCTATTACTAGCCCTGGCTAGTAGTTTTGTCTGACCCCTGTCTATAATCAAGAATCTTCAGGTTTTTCACTTGCATAAAACCTTTCTAGCAGCAGTTCCTAGACTTTATACAACACAGGGGGAGAGGTAAAGGCTTTTGTGCCCCATCTGCTTACTGGTTTATGGTAGCAGAGTGGCTCCGTTTCAGAAGCAACCTCCACAGTGATGAATTCAGTCTCTGGGAGAGGTGAACCACACCAGGGTATATTTAAAATGCCCAGAGTTCTCCCTGAAAGATCACCTGTGCTCACTTACATCCAAGCTGTGTATTTAAAGGAAATAAGTGCTGACTGCAGCAGAAGGCTCCACTATACTTAGCCTTTATTGTCTTCAGTTTCTAGACTGGCATGATTAATTAAGGAAGTCTGCAGCTTCGGCTTCCACGGAGACAGCAGCGCTGAAGAGCAGGAAGCAATCAGCTCTAGTTGGCACCACCATCCATTACATCAATATTCACAGAGACAGGATCAGTAAACTCTTAATGAGAGCCCTGCCTGTTATAGCCATTTTAAACACACTGCAAGCTGCTCATCGTAAATGGCAAATGAAATCCAGAAGCACAAGTCAATGTGCATGGTATGGTATTTCTGTCCCTTTTCTGTGATACATATGGAGTAGGGAAAAAAAGTCAGGCATACAAGGATTCCTTGGAGAATTCTAGTAACACGTAGGGGCTTAGAAAATGCTATTTGTTACTACAGTTTGCTTTGCAGACTATGGAAAATTATAAAAACTGACAAACGCCCACTAATAGGAGGCTGAGCAAGAGATTGTGGTTAAGGAGGGCGCCGCGTGAGACAGCAGGGATGAGTACTCTTCCGCTGCGCATTCCAGCTGACTCAGAAGCTGGTCACAATAGAAAACATACATGTTTTTATAATCCCTTGTAGAAATAAACTGACTTCTGCCTTCAGAAGACTCCGACATTGCATCTTGGTGGCTTATCTACATGCAAGCCAAAAGAAAAAGCAAGTTTCAATGAAGAAACTAACATGTTCCTTCCTACTCCAATTTAACTTTTCCTTCTACTGTCCAGGAGTACTGGCCTATCAGAAAAAGGAACTGAAGTAAAAACAAATAAAGAAATAGGTTGCTCAGACAATGTTGATGATTTTGTAACTTTATATGTTTGGCTTTTTCTTTTTTGTCATAGTGTCAATACTTTCAATTAATTCCTAAGACTGCACAATCACCAAAATAACACATCTAAAATATGAATTCAAAATTTATCTAATTAATTATTAGTAACTTCATTTGTTCGTAATGTCTTTACAGTATTAAATATCATCAACACATAATTTCATAGATAAATCCTACTGCATCCCAGGTGAAGACTGCTGTAGACATACAATACATGAATGACCTCTATTATTTACCTGCAATTTTCCAACACAATAATGTTGTTCTTGTTTCAGATGCACCTGATTCAACAGTAATCTTGTCCAATTTGTAAAATCAAGTGGCTCAAACCCTAGACAGGGCTAAATTTTCTTATGTAAGGCCTGTGCAGCCATTAAAACTATGCCAGGAACAACAGTCTTCTAGGCTGTTGCATTTAAATTTCCCTAACAAAGGTTCTTTGGTCAGTTAGAACAAGTATTGGAGGGAGCAAAAATATACGTCAGACCCGTTTTAAGGAAAATAAGGATCTCAGTTCAGACATGAGTTCACGTAAGATCTCTAAGTGATCTATACTGCAATGAGAGACATGGACCGAAACACATTAAGTGCAAGTAAGAAAATTTGTATTTTTTTCCCACTGGATTAATTTCACTCTAAATTACATATGTCTTTTCTCACCTTCTTCCCTTTGGCTTGTATTACCACCCAGGAGGGAAAAACTCCTAAATTCCCACTCATTCTCTTGCTCCCATTGGATCCATACCATTTCTTTAAGATGAGATGCAGAAAAGCCTTGCTCTGTGTTTTCTTTACTTGTTTTCCCTCAGTCTTGTATTGTCCATTCAGTAACCTTTCATGCACACAGAGCAGCATTCAGCTTCAGCCACCAAATCGAACGCACACGCTGTCCCTTCATTAATGTTGGAATTCATCTGCCCGTGTTGGAGAGGATGGGGAAAGAGAAGAGGAAAGGTTTTCATTCTCTGGTTATCTGGCTTTTCACCTTTAGCAGTTCCCTTTTGAACAGAGGCTGCTGCAATGCAGCCTCCTCACAGCACTGTCCTGTTCTATTCTCTGGTTATCTGGCTTTTCACCTTTAGGAGTTCCTCTTTTGAACAGAGGCTGCTGCAACAGCCTCCTCATGGCACCGTTCTGTTCCGTCCTTTCTCAGAAAGGCTCAGATGCCATCTTGTTGCCACACAGAACCGCTTTTGAGCTTTCCCTCTCTATTTTGTTGGTGCAAGTCTTAGTTTGGTACCATCTTTATTGCAATTGCTCCTATTTCTCTGGTTGCATATACCATGCCTACTTCTAAATGGAACTATTCCAGCCATTTTGACATCGGCATAACTTGAAGTATCAAGGTCTGTGTGTCTAATGCAATACACACTCACATACCTAGAGATCTGAACCTATAGAAAGACCAGAAAAATCCCATTACTGACAGACTAAAGCAAAGAGCAGTGCGGTCCACTGCATTTCATCGTCATGTGAGTCCAGAAGTACTAATTTACATCTATTAACAACTTAGTACACATCAGCCACTCTGCAGAAATTGTCAGCACGTATTACTTTGCATTTGCTATAGGGAAACTGTGTGCGGGTTAGCTTAGCCTCCTCTCCTGTCACAACAAGTCTCATCACTCTGTACTTGCCGCTGGCTAAGAGCCTGCTTGTCCCCAAGCCCACGTTCACCACCACACCAATGATCCTTGCCAAACCCTGCTGACTTGATCTCCCATCCCAGCCTCACGTCGGGAGATGCGTCAATAGCTACGTGATTTATTTGTTCCTTGATCACAGAAGCAAATAATATTCAGCGCCATTTAAACAGCTGACCTGCTGCAGATAAGAATGGAATTGGGTTCGCTTCAGCAAAATTTTCTTTCTGCAAAACATTAAGTCAAGCTCGCTAAAACGTTAGCAGGTCAGTGATGAAACCACTGAGAAGTAGGAAAAGAAACTGGTTGTGTAACCTTTCCCTTGTATTAGTTTCCCTTCAATGATGTCTTAGTGCCAGTAATTCTTTTGCAGAGCCCCATGTCCTGGTTAACCACTGCCTATATAGCTGAAGGCAAACATATCTGGGAGCTGCTGCAGAGGCATAGCCTTTAAAGGCTCAGCAGCACTTGTCTCTGAAACACTTTCTGAAGCACCTTCTTGGAATTTTATCTTCACCTTCATTTCTTTCCCACAGATGGTTCCTTGAACAGAAAGATCTTAAGGAGAACTTTTAGAAGAAAAGGTGTTTTCCTTTAAAGAAAAAAAGAGAAAGAAGCAAAGAAACAATCAGTACTAGAAAAAAGTAAGAATGTGTGGTGCTGGCTGCTTTTCATCCTCTACTCAAGACTTAACGTCTCCATTCCCTGTTCACTGTCTCTAATAGCTAGAGTATCTTCCACTCCTTCTCCAGCTTCTCGGACTCATCTGCCAGCATCTTGTTTGGAGAGCTCCTCCAATTTCTTCACAAATTTCCTATGGGGTGCCACAGAAATTTGTCGTCAGCTATCGTCTCTTTGTCACATCAGATAGTCCTACCTCCAAAAAGATCCAGCCAGCATCTCCAGGCACTTTTTTTACAGGTCTCCTCCTCACTCTCACCAAGTCATTCATCGAGTTAGTGCCCTTTGGTTGTTTAAACACCAGCTCCAGTGACTGAAAACCAGGATTCTAATTTTTCCTTCTGTTCAGTCACTTCTTGACCCCTACAGAGAACACCGCTGTTCTCTTAGGAGGTGGGCAGGCTTGACTGGAAATCTTCTCATTGTGGCAATATATGACTCTCTCAAACATCTTCTTCACATGATCTGTGATTTAACCTTTCCCAGCAGCCATCCTCCCAGCTTTTCCGAGGTTTAGCCATCTCCCTTGCTGTAATACCCCTTCCCCATCGCCTCCACAAAGGCAATTAAATTCTCAATTGTACTCACATGGATTGAAAATATTGTTTTAAAGATAACTCTGCTGGGCCATCATGTTCACTATACAATCTCCTTTTTTTTCCCTCTAAGAATAGACAAACAGCCATATTTGTTATTTTTGCATAAAGCTGCTACATGAAAGTATGTGTGCTTAGGAAACAGTGTATATAGAAAATATCATGGGGTAACAACTGTAGGTACAGAACAGTGAAGCTGTCATTCTGCATGTGGCTGTGTAAGCTCATTGATATGACACTAAAGAAGTAAAAGGGGGGAAAATTGGTCCATTTTTTTCTAACTAGAAAAAATAGAGAAGTAATTAAAATAATCTAGGAGAATAAATCTACAAATGTCAGGAAGGAAAAAAACCTCCTATCTAGATTTCTCGAAATACTATTAGGAATACAACACTTAAACTCATAACTCCACAGAAGATCAAACTCAATGTTTCCCTTATTGCCTGATTTGCCATAGGAAAATGCTTCCAAAACTTATTGAACAGAGTCGTTTTTATGAATTGTGCTAGAAACCACAAGCTAATTCTTCAATGTGCATTTAAGAACAATGGCATGAATAAATAATAACATATACAATGCAGGAGTTTATCTAACAGATAATGGCCCACAAAAGGAAGAGTTTTATTACATTAGGGAATCAAGTGAACTATAATTAGTCTAATGGTTAAAGCATTAAGAGTATTTTCCAGTTCTCCACCAGCACTGCTTACAAATAGAGGACTGAACCTTCTTTCAGTGAAAAACATATATATAAAAAAAAATTCCTTCAGGGATTAATTTCGCCCAGGGATCTGTGATCTGTTCACCAGTTCTTTTGGGGGGGTACCCACAGTCTGTCCAATTCTTCTCTGAACTGTGGAGGAGAAATACCAAGGATTCTTAGAATGATTTTACTTGTAGCCATTAGAGGTAAACTCACCAGTAAAATTACAGGATCAAGCCCAAATTACCATCCAAAGACATTTCCAACATTTTCAGCAGGACGACGACTCCTGATTTTCTCTCGCATACATCATCAGTATGTTGTCAAAGCAGGAAGTGTGCAATTTTATTCAAAGAGGCCTTGGGCAGAAAGGAAGTCATATGAATGTCAAGTGTGTGGTAATAAAAATTAAAGAATATTCATTAGTAATTGAGCCTCAGAGGGTAACGAAGACTTTCAACTGTGGTGCTAGACATTTCTTCAGCCAAAATTGGCGTTGGCCTCCAGAAAGGTTTGCTCTATATTGTGCAGTACTTTAAATGTTGTCTGCGTAAGCAAACAAAGGGGAGCAGCACTTACCACTTGCCAAGGAAATTAAACGCAGTTATCGACAGGCATTACATGTCTCCACTGGCCCTCTCCTCACCTCAAAAAAAAAAAAAAAAAAAAATCACAACAGAGTACATTAACCTCTGGCCTGTTGGAATTTTATCTGACAGAAGTCCGCCTTCCAATGCTGAGAATTCCCTCACAACAGAGTACATTAACCTCTGGCCTGCTGGAATTTTATCTGACAAAAGTCTGCCTTCCATGAACACACTGCTGTGTATCACAAACAAATCCGCAGCATGGTTGTTTCCTCAAATATAGCCAAGATAAGGCTTATCACAGACTATAAATCCACCACAGGTGAAGCTGTTGCAGCAGGAAGAGCTCTAACCCCCAAGTTATGATTTAGTCATGTTTTTTGTCAGTGTTAGGTTGATGGTTGGACTAGATGATCTGAAAGGTCCTTTCCAACCCAGGCGATCCTATGATTCTGTAAGTTCTGGCACCAGTTTCATAGCCAGGAGCCTCCAGCTCTGGGCCAGGTGCCCAACCACACCAGAAGCTTGGGTACCTTGGACCAGAATCTCTAACAGCCAGTGTGAGAAGCACCCGAGTTGTCAATCACTAACACTGCAACTACAACCTTCTTGGCATCTAGAGCATTTAATTATTGAGTTATGCTGGACGGTCTGCACTTAAGACTTCGGCATCTTTCAGAAGCATGACAGGAGGAAGGAGAGGTCCTCTCAGCAGCTGAACAGGTAGAGCTCAGACCTGGACAGTCCTGAGGACAACACTGAATCCCTACCTGGCACTTCCCAGGTGATTCCCTTCGTCACCAGGCCAGAGGCTAACTGGGAGGAATGCCTTTCATTGTGCCTGCTGAGAGGCTGTTATTCTGAACAAAATAATCCCCATTCATTGGGCCAGGGAAGCAAAGCATCACTTTGAACACAACAATTAAGGTAACTAGCTGGGAGCGGGGGAAATTTGAATTTCAATCCCTGTTACAAGACTGCTTTTCCAGCCAATTACCATGTAATATTAAAGTACACGAGGAGCAACCAGTAAGAGTCAGGAGCAGAAACCGAGAGAGTTCCCTAATAACCTCTTCAAACCCCTCCATTACCCTGGATACCAACAGGACACAGACTTGGCCACCCTGTGCTGCTGCATTTTTCCTCCTATTGATACTCAAGTTACCTGGTACTACGTCAAATTATTTACACCTGCTGCAATCATATCTATTATTAAAGACAGACATACACCCATCTCGCGGTCGGTTTTCTTTCCAGCCCCTTCAGAGGCCTTTGTGGAGCCCACTCCTGAATAACTCCTGTTGACAAGACATGAGGAAAAAATTTTAAAAATTGTCTGTTACCCCATATTTTCCCTTTCCCAGCTATTGTGATATTCACTCCTTCCTCTGGTCTTTCCAATTCTTTCCCATGCTTTATTCCTCTTTGTGGTCTCGGTTACCTTCCCCCTCCTCATCCTTTGTCTTCCATTGCTCTTTCCAAAGAAAAAAAATATAAGTTTTTTTCTTTGGCCTTTCTTCCCTCTTCTTTCTCTTTTTCTTCCCTCCGTTTTCAGCGTTAAGTGACATGATACCTCAGTCTTCCTCCTACCTTTATGAAACTCAAAATGCATGGACCAGAAGAGCTGAGGAGGAAAAAAAAGGCAGAGAAGTAAAAGTCATTCATGGCCACTTAGCAAGAGAAAGAACTCTCACGAGGTTTTGATCAGAACAACTGTTTTCCAACACCTTTTGGTAAGAATCTCAGGAAAAGGACTTCTGAGAGCAACTGATGTTATAAAAATGTAAATTTTACAGACCTCTGTGGCCTCCCTAATTCCTTCTCCTTCCTTGCACTGAGAGTCCTTGGTCTTGGTCCGACTGTTGGTCCAGGATGGGTTCATAATGTTGGGTTCTTACACTTGGCCACTTTGAAATCCTCCTCACAGTCCTGAGTGATGTGCTCTGGGCAATCCTGCTGTAGCAGGGGGGTTGGACTAGTTGATCTCTAGAGGTCTCTTCCAACTCTGACAAGTCCGTGATTCCGTGATTTGACAAAAATTTCCTACCATGCAGTGATTTCAGCTATCACCATCAACCTGAACCATCTGCCCAGGAGGGAGGATTTTAAAGGAAGACCAGTCCAACTGTTCCTGCATTCCCTCGCTATTATCTCATTTTAAAAGAAGCCAAGTCTCTGGTTTTTAATATGATTTTTTTTCCCCCCTTGATTACTGCTCTACGAAAAGCCTAGACAAACAACAAACCCAGGAAAAACGAGCGAGCCGCCGGGGTGGAAGGGCTGCAGGGCACGCTGAATGAACTGTGATCTTTGGTGGGATAAAGATCAACGTGACGAGCTTTCAGCTGTAGCGATCAGTCGATACTTTCCAGACCATCCCCACAGCGACAAAGGCCACGGCATTTTTAAGTTGTAATTGAGATTAGCCTCGATACGTACAGCTGGAGCCCTGCCCGTGAACTTCGCTGGAAGGCTGGCTGTGCAAACCATCCATCACTCCGTTTCACATGGGCAGTAACCTAATGACACCACAAAAATCTCACCACGTCCCTCGCTCCACACGTTCGGGCTCCTGCCAGGGGGCCTCGGCTGTGGGGTTTGCCTTCCGAGGTCTGGAGCACCCTATAGGCTCTCCCTAAAGATGGGCATGATTCTCTCTGGGGGTGGCCAGGTCTTCTACAATGTAGAAGTCTTGTAGCCTGAAAGTGCTTTTGCTGTCATCTGGCTTGCTAGATTCGCAGTCACAGAATCACAGAATGCTATGGGGTTGGAAAGGACCTCTGGAGATCATCTAGTCCAACCCCCCTGCCAAAGCAGGTCCACCCAGAGCAGGTTGCACAGGAATGTGTCCAGGTGGGTTTGAATGTCTCCAGAGACAGAGACTCCACCACCTCTCTGGACAGCCTGCTCCAGGGCTCTGCCACCCTCAAAGTAAAGAAGTTCCTCCTCATGTTTAGATGGAACTTCTTATGTTCCAGTTTGTGCCCATTACCTCTTTTCCTGTCACTGGGCTCCACTGAAAAAAGCCTGGCCCGTCCTCTTTACACCCACCCTTTAAGTATTTATAGGTGTTGATCAGATCCCCCCTCAGCCTTCTCTTCTCCAGACTAGAAAAACCCAAGTCCCTCAGCCTTTCCTCATAAGAGAGATGTTCCAGTCCCCTCATCATCTTCATGCTAACCGAAAGCCCACGCATACTACTACCGACTCCAGCACGCTTTGGGTGAAGCCCATAAAGATGGGCAAGATCACTTCTCATGGATGGGAATAAAATATTTTGTTTGTTACTACTCAGCTAACCACAATAAAAATAAACAGTTCCCTTTCATGTGGTGATGATACAAAGCAATCATGCTCTATTCCTTTTTTTAATTATTAGGTTGAAAGATTCAGTGTCTTCCTGGCATGTTTAATTCTGAATCATATTCTTCACATATATAAATAGCCACCAACTGTATGTAGTAGCGGAGGGGAGGGTCAGGGAACTAGCTTCATGTCAAGAAAGCATTTCCTATGGAGTCACCAAATCTGTCCTGGAACAACTCCTACATCGGTCCTTGTGGCCAAGAAGGCCAATGGCATCCTGGGGTGCATTAAAAAGAGCATGGCCAGCAGGTCAAGGGAGGTCATTCTCCCCCTCTTCTCTGCCCAGGTGAGGCCTCATCTGGAGTACTGGGTCCAGTTCTGGGCTCCCCAGTTCTAGAAGGACAAGGAACTGCTGGAGAGAGCCCAGCAGAGGGCTTCAGAGATGATGAAGGGACTGGAGCACCTCTCTGATGAGGAAAGGCTGAGAGATCTGGGTCTGTTTAGCCTGGAGAAGACTGAGGGGGAAATCTCATCAATGCTTATCGATACCTAAAGGACGAGCGTCAAGAGAATGGGGCCAGACTCTTCTCAGTGGTGCCTGGTGACAGGACAAGGGGCAATGGACACAAATTGGAACACAAGACATTCCATCTGAAAATGAGGGAAAACTTCTTTACTTTGAGGGTGGCAGAGCCCTGGCACAGGCGGCCCAGACATGGTGTGGAGTCTCCTTCTCTGGAGACATTCAAAACCCGCCTGGATGCGTTCCTGGCCAGCCTGCTCTGGGTGGCCCTGCTTTGGCAGGGGGTGGGACGGGATGATCTCCAGAGATCCCTTCCAACCACAAAAAGTCTGTGGTGAGGCCGATGGCTGCCGTGTCCTTGCACACTCTGGGTAGAGCTCTCCAACCTCACTGCCATGGGGAAGCTTCTCCTCCGTGAACATCACACAGCCAAAACTTACTTTTGTAAAGACGCGTTAAAGGTTTCCCAGCTGAAATTCCAAACCCCTGGGGCCAAGGAGACTGTTGGGAGATGTTCCCCTCTGGTACCGAGAGCCCTGGTACCGGAGAAAACCCTGCCTTCTCCAAGCCACCAGGGCCCAGGACGCCGGGCCTTACTTACCCACCCCCCCACCCTCCCTCCTTCGGGCCGGGGGCTGGCGGCCCGGGATGTTGCCCACGACC